GTTTCTTCCCAGAAGTCCCTGCCCCAGGGTTCTCTTATACCAGAGGTGGCCACAGTTTTTTGCCTTGCGAGCTACTTTTCAAATGACAGTCAAAATGATCTACCCACACTAAAAATACTATCTATCTATCTGTCTGTTTGTCTATATATAAAGTCCTCCTCCCATTCTGCATGGAAGTGGTAAGTTTTCGGTTTCTTACTTGATTTGGCTCCACCACTCATTTTTTACCTTGTGTGGAAATTAATTCGAAGGCTGACAAGGTAGTTCGCTCACTGGAGTTTTGCAGTAGCTTGTGCGGTTGACTGCGCATGCTTGGTGACTTGTGTGTCAGAAAAGACAAGATCTCAGACTGGCTGCCCTGCACGTCAATCAAGTGGCAAATACCATAGGGAGGACAGATGATAGGCTAACATCAAATTTTTTTTGAATGGCATGCGATCTACCAACACTACCTTTTTGATCGACCGGTCAATCGGGATCGACATATCTTATACAATCTGAAGAGACAGAACTAGTGAAACAGTTTTGACACCAAGTGCTTGGAACCTAAAGCAAGTAACAAGTGTTTATAAAAAGGATGTGGGGTTGGGGTAAATTCAAAGTTGGGAACCATTTCTTTAACATAGTATACAATTTAGAAATATCAGAAATATATGAATTTGGAAGGTTGAATTTAGTCTGTAGTTGAACAAATGATGCAAAATGCCCATTCATATATAAATCTGATAAAGTACTGATGCCTTTCATTCTTGAGACTGCAAACACCCCATGTAATTGCTCAGGCTTGAATGAATGGTTCTGGCACATGGGAGCATATATGGAAACACTCATTATTCATTATTCCTAATGAATTTCTTCAAGTGAAATCTTGTATAATTGACTTGGTGCAGAACTAGAAAACAGCAGAGCAGAGATTGATATGTTTTTGACTGCAAAGGCTTCTACTTGTAACCATGAAGGAGTGTTTTCATTCCCAGTATTGATGCAATCTCCATATTTCCAATAGGTGACAGCTCTTGAATTAGCAGCCCGGTAGTAGTGCTACAGGTGTACATGATAATAGAAAGAGAAGTCACATTAGATGGATGCTGTAGTCTCATTCCAAGAGATGAAGGATTCGTAGTCCAGACAGTTACTCATATGGATCCTCTAAGACACCAAGGTAAACACTGAACAGTAGAGGGCAGTTGCATTATCTCAGGTTTAGCATTTAGTCTGGCAGCCAACAACAAACAAAGAAAAATCCCATAAACAGTTAATATATGGTATATATGAACAATTTCCCCACCCAATGCTTCCCCAAATGAAGCAAAGTTACCTTCATTCTCAACCTGGGACTGCTGGCTGAAACAGTAGTAAGAGGAATAAAAGAAAAACCCACTAACTCATAGCCCCTCATTGACACATAGAGCATGACAAGGAAAACTTAATACAAAGAACTGTCATGATAACTTATAATCCGCATTTAGACACTCTTCCATATTGAGTTTGAAACAGGATTTTCATTTCAGAGTTCTTGGCAAATAAAGTTCTTGGCTTAAGCTGAGCTGCTGAAGACTCTTACTTGCCCCTTAGTGGTGTAAATGAAGCCTTGCCACTTTGGTGACTTTGGTGTTCCATGGGGCATTGTCTTCCAATCTGCAAGATCTTTTCTTTTTCTCTGTGGCAGTTGCACCTATGCAATGATGGTGCAGGGTTTAGAGCCTTCAAGTGGTTTAGGCTGTTGCATGCAGTGTGCCCTGTCAATAATCAACCTTCATTTGAGTTTTAATGTATTTTTAATAAAACTGTTTTAGAGGCAGTATTATTAAAAAAAATATACTATATGTACAATATGATAATTAGTACATTAGTATATGACTTTATTTGGAGCAGAAAATGTCATATAAATGTTATACAAAGGCAGCATTTCTATATCAGTCCACTATCTGGACCAGTGTCAAGATGTTTTAGAATGACAGCAGTCAGCTAAACAGACTGGGGTTCATATGTGTGACAAGACCTGACCAGTCCTGTTTTGTGACCAAGGCTTAAATAGAATGATTAGAGTCAGCTAGGGGAAGATTTAAAAGGAATAACACAGTACATGCAGTAACCCCTCCCTCTGCACGTCAAGTAAATAAATTCACCAGCAGCAGTTCAAACCCTTGCTCTACATGTGGAGCCAAACAGTAAACATGCTTGTCTGCCTCCATTATTGACATTCCAACCACTGAATTCTGTAGGAGGGTAAAGGTCCCATCTGTGTGTAGTGCAATTTGAGACATTACACAAGTCTTACATTAATCAGATGTGCAGGTTAATCTCCAGGCTCAGCAGGCAGCATTAACCTGCTGGACAGCAGCCTCAGACCTGTTGTATTGACTTCGTTCTCTCTCTCTCTCTCTCTCTCTATGTGACTGCAAATGTGCAAGCTCTGTGTGAAAGCACACATGTTGCTGCCGACATACAGTACATACTCGTGTTTATTAAGGCTACAGCCTTTCTTTAGTAAAACAGAGCAGCTATTTACATCAGCGAACAGCCAGTGGTCCTTCGTCCTCTTCATCCTGCGACCAGATAACCGCCTGATACTTCCATCTGCTGCTGAAGCAGAAAGCTGGGCTGTGAGTGTTTTCATGCGACAAAAACTGACAGTATACAATCTATGTAGTACCAGTTAACTAGCTCACCTAAAGTAACAAAGGAGGAAAATTATGAAATTGAAAAGCGGCTGCTAATTTACATTCAGACATCAAGCATTGGTAGGACATGGGTCAACTACCAACATGTTTTGGACCCACTCATATCAAACAGCTTGTCACCTTCTGTCTCCTCTCTCTTTGTTTTGCTGGATCTGCTAAATGATATTTAAATTTTGGTATCATTTAACAAATTTCCATTCTTGATAGAAACATCTGTTCACCACAGCTGGGTAACAATCAACCAGTGCCCAGTGAGTGATGAGTTCAGTCCTGGTTGAGAGGAAGGTTGACTGGCGTGTTGACTGTTGACACATACAGAGTCAGAACACACATCGCTGTGTTGGTCTGAATGGGTTCTCAGTGAATGCGACCCTTCACATCAGTAGAATCACAAACTGTAGGCGCTGATCAGTAAAGCAGTTTCCTCCACCGGCCAAAATACTGAATCTCATGTTCAGGACTTGAATTAGCTGCATGATGTGTTTCACTGCCATCTTACATTCAGTAATGTTCTGTCTCTGGCATTAGCGCTTCCTGGAACAAACAGCTCTATGAGTCATATTTATCTACAATCCAGAGAATTACCCACAAAAACCGCCAGGACATACTTGGACAATGCAGCAGCACGCCATATGAAACAGTAGGATGATTTAACATGAAACACTGTGGATGTAGATGTAACATTGATGGTTCTTTCAGTTTCTCACACAGAAACAGAAAAGAGAATTTGAAAAAAAGCCAGGAACACTACAACGAAAATCTAAAGACGGTGGAGGAACAAATGCCGAACCAAGAAAACTTGAGAAGTGTAGAACAGTGAATGAGCTGCCATACATCAGTATGCATCAGGAGTGGATAAAAAATAAAATAAAAGACACTCATAGGATGCTCTTACTCATTCAGTAAAGGCTGTACAGTATAAGGTGAACAGTGCACAACTGATAAGATAAAAAGATGGTTTGGTCTCAAATCTGAGGCAACGAAACAAACACGGAAGAAAGACGCTGACCAGCGCGGGACGACAGGCTGGCCCAGAGTGTCCTGATGTGTCTGAACCTTGATTAGCTTCAGGCCATGAGGTTTAGCAGAGCGAGGCTGTTTTCTGTAACCATTCAGTTCAACCCATCCACTCTTCTCCAGCTAGCAGGCGGGGTGGGGGGTGGAGGGCTTCTTAATGTGTGTGGGTGTGATAAGGCTTAACACCATGGACAGTAAAGAATGTGTGCTCTGACTTAATTCTCAGCTTTTTCTGTGAGTTTGATTATGTGTATTATGTGGCCTGGAGGTAGATGTGGGATTAAGAAAAGATTTTCAGCAGCTTTCCAGATTGCCGTCTTTCTAGTCTGAGTGCACCTTCCTGATTGGTAAAGTAGCTTCACAAGGAAGCTGCTCAGTAGGATTCATCTCTCTCTGATCCTCTCCCAGCTCTGTCACATCTAGTCTATATGTTCTCCTTTACATCTAAATGTAAATTTGAGCCTTAACTTTGGCCAGTTTCTTTTCTTCTGGTCTAAATGTTACTGTCTTTCATGGTCAGCAAGCTGCAAGCCTGCCTTACAAGCCCATATTACTGTCATCTATTTTTGCAGCATATTTCTCCTCCTCCTACCCTGAATATTCCCTCTCGTCTTCCAAATTACTGCCCTCACTTATATTCCTGCCATAACAAGTTTGTATTTTTGAGTGTTCAGCACAAAGTGTGTGTTCTTTAAGAGGAAAGGTTAAGGTTAATGACTGAGAAACCACCTGGAAAGAGAAACTGGTATGGACTGAGTGCTGCTGCTTTTCAAAGCACCTCATTGCAGAATTGGAAGCACATGTTGTAAGAAGATGCTTTTTAAAGGATAGTGTAGGAGAGACATTCTAGGCCACATATCAAAAACCGATTGATGGAACTAAACTTGACAAAGTTCATTGAGGAGTCTCCAGGGTCTTCCTAGAAAGAGGCCTCTTCATACAGTACCACTGTTAAGTGGACAGAAAGGAGAGACTGTAAACAGATAGGCTGTGTCATTCTGGCTTGCTGTCTCCTCAGAGTTTTTGAATAAAACATGTACAAGACTCCATTCTCCATCCTGCTGCCTGTGACACCTCCACTTTCAGATCGACAGTTGGAGCTTAGGAATCCTTTGGATTAGCCAGTGCTGGCTAGCTCTTAAGCCTCATACGCCCCCACGATCTCAATTAAAAACTTGTGCTTTCAGCTGGGTTTTTGTGCCCACTCCTTTTCTTTCACTATGTGCATGAATTAGTGTAAAGAAGTGGATGGAAATGGTTTGAAAACCTTCCATTTTTCTGTTCTTTTTCTCTCTGCAGATGATCCAGCTGACCAGCGTACTTGCCTTATCTGTGGAGATCGCGCCACAGGCCTGCACTATGGCATCATCTCCTGTGAGGGCTGCAAAGGCTTCTTCAAGCGCAGCATCTGCAACAAGCGTGTGTACCGCTGCAGCCGCGACAAGAACTGCGAGATGTCACGCAAGCAGCGCAACCGCTGCCAGTACTGCCGCCTGCTCAAGTGTCTGCAAATGGGCATGAACCGCAAAGGTAAAGTGTGGAGACAGAAAAAAGAGGTTTGCACTAAGTTCTCTCCATGAAAGTCAAATATGACATTTTTATTGACACAGTCTGTTTCTATGAATAAGAGCATTTGGCACAACTTGACAGATAAATGTAACAAAAATCCAAATTATTTTAAGAGATAAATAATTATACAGCTTACAGCTATAAAAAAACAAAAAAGCATCTGCAGTTTTGTCAGTGGCACACTGCACATCCTCCCATTTATGCTGAATCCTGAGACAGTGTTTATTTTTGATAAGTGATGTAAACATTTACCATTATCAAAGTAGTTACTTATCATCTATTAATGTAGTTTTCAACAAACCATCACAGACTTGCATTTTATACCCTAAGTATTTTCTGTAGTCTTCATTTTACTGTAGGTACACTGGGCAGGAGTTGCACCACAGGAAAAGTTTGATATGGTCAGAAAACTGTTACTGAGCATAAATGTGGCTTTGCTGAATCTTTAGTACCAATACTATCGATGCCAGCCTGTATTTACCTGATAAGGAACTGTATTTTCATTGAAAATATCTTTAAAAAATTCTAAACTTTTGTGCAAATTTAACTTCAACAAAGAAAATATAACACAACATTATGGCAGTAGCCAGTTTTTGTGTAAACAAAAAAAGGCAGTAGTACCTTTACAATTAATGGACATTTCTACCGATCATTTAGAAAAATCATTACAAACTTTTACAAAGGTCAGCCCTCCATAACTGTACTAAATCAAAAAACTATTTTTCATTATGAAAACCTCCAACATGTCACATACCGAGAGTGATTTACCTCCTGCCAACAACCTGAAAGGAAGCCATGTGGACTCTAACCTTGGGCCGAAGAACGTCATGTACAAGCTTGTCAACAAGATCTCACTGCTGAAAATGTTCTGTGACCAACAGCTGATAGAACCATTACAGAAAAACACTTCTGCCAATCAGTAAAGATGTATGTATGTGTACAGCTCCTCTGGAATGTTTAGTGACACTAATGTTAAGAAAGCACTCTGTCCTCATGCAGGGTGTTGATTCTTCGTTCCACAGACACACACTGCCCTCTAGTGGATGAAGATCATAAATCTCCTTTCAGTGCTCTCCAGATATTTTTAAGACTAGCTTGTCTTGACACAGCACTACATTTACTTAACTCCCAGCTTTGAACAAACTATTTCCAGGGAAGAGAGGAAAAAAGTCTGCCTGCTAAGAGAAACAGGATCAGCTATAGTTGGACCTGAAGAGAAAAATCACCACCTAGAAAAGACATTGTGGGATTTGTTTCCACCACTAGGTAGAGCTATGATACTAACCACGGATCATCTATTGTCACTTAGATTAATTGTTTTTGTCATGTAGCAATCAGGGAGGATGGAATGCCAGGAGGGAGGAACAAAAGCATCGGGCCTGTTCAGGTAAGTCACCAACTTCATGTTCAGTAATCACCAGAAATAGTTTTTGTCCCATCCACTGACCTTCTCAACTTCTAGTCTCTCTGTACACATTATCCTGGCTGGGTTCCAACAGCCAGCTTGCTCACAGGGAAAGTATTCAGAGCACAAACCATTCACTTGCTGAGTGTTGTAATGCTAATGATTTTCATGTAGAGACACTAGTGAAGCATATAATGAAAATGAGCCCTGACCTTGTTACACCATCACTATAATCACGTAATACTGATTATTCCCTATTCAGCTCAGGCATCGTTTTTAACACTGGTGAGAGAACAAATGGTCAGGAAAATGTGCGGCATGAGGCCACTGAGCCACTATTCAGGGGAGGGATGTGGTTATTCTCTTCTAACTCGGCTCAATAAGTCAAAGAAAAAAAACAGACAAGTTCACTTCCATTAAAGGAGAGCTTTATTTCTAAGCCCTAATGAAAGGAGGACCTCTCAGTCATTAATATGGATTGAATTGCTGTTTCAGTATATGTGCTGAATTGATAGAAATGTAAGTGAATTGACCCTAACCCCACATAAAAGACACCACATTTTCTGGCATGCTAATGCCTTTCAGAAAGGCTTTTGACTGTGTTTTCTCCTGGCATGGACCTGCAAGGATTCTATTTTAGGTGTGTGTGTCTGTTAGTCAGTCAAATGTGCACGCACACATTTGCCTCCTTTATTTCTTTCTCTAGCTCCCTGTTTTATTGTGGATTGTGTCCTTGCTCCTCAACATTTTTGTGAAAAGCAGCACAGCACTAGTCAGTGCTAATCAGACGAACTGAGACACACAGTGCTTTTGATCATATGAAGATGTGCTCCAAGCTCCAGAGAAACCGCAGTCCCTCCTCATGTGTCTATGTGTGTATGTTTTAGATAACAGAAGAGGAGATAGAGAGGATCATGTCAGGGCAGGAGTTCAAGGAGGACGCCCCGGAGCACACCTGGGGCAACAGCGGTGACAGCGACCACAGCTCTCCCAGCAACGGAGCCTCGGAGGGCAACCAGCCATCACCTGCCTCCACTCTGTCATCCAAGTGAGTTGTTCGTCTCAGCCACCGAGCTGTGCAGTGCCTGCACTCGGCCCATCACTGAGATAATGAGCCAGCCCTGACAGTCTAACACCTCGTTCCCATCTCACCCAGACTTTGGTTAAGGTATTCATCAGCCAAAGAATGCCTGAATATGCAGCTCCTCGGCCTTAGTGATGATAGCAAACACAAAGAACTTGTGGCACTATCTGCTGTTCTTGCTATGGAGACAAGCGTATTGTCTATCTGCACTCATCAAGGACAAATATTGTCTAGGTACTCGCATGATGGTATTTATTTTAGTCTCATTTTGTATAAACATTAGGTTTATCTCAGCAGCTTGGTAGCTATTCAGAGGAATACTTGTTTTATCAAATTAAATCTGAACAGAAATGAACAACAAAAACAGAATGCCTTAGCAGCCTGGGCTTTGGTATGTGGGTACAAAATAAACTGCAAAGTTTAGTCTACAAGTTTTTTAAAAAAAAAATTGCCAAAAATTTTAATGCAAAAAGAGAATGGAGCTTCATCACTGTGCCTTAGATAAGGGTTTGAGGTTATGAGGTTCAAAGGCAGAGTCTGTAGTTTAGCATAGGACAAACACAGGAAGCGGAGGAAAGCTGCTAGCCCTGCTCTAGACTGGACATATGAAGCATATCAATGTTTGAATCCAGGTAAGATGGCAATCAAGGGTATTTCTCAAATTGTCAGACTCTTACTTAAAATAAAAAGGAACTGTGCCTTCATATGGCCAAGTGTGTGTGACATTTGACCTTTGTGTGTGTCTAGTCGCTCTGTGGAAATGAATGGCTACACAGCGGCCCTAAGGGACCAATACATCAACACCTCCATGTCCACACATTACCAGCTCCTGCCTCACCTGTTTAGCTACGCCACCCATTCTGCCCTGCTGGCCCCCCAGCCCCGCAGCCTCTACCCACAGTCCCAACCACTGGTGCTGCAGCTGGTGGCTGCTGAAGACCTGGCCCCCCTGGCCACACCTATGCTCATAGAAGACGGGTGAGACGATACGTACAGAACATGTCATGTAGATTTACTCCCAACATACGGTATGCTCGTAGTTCTAAGCTTGGCTTTCATCATGTGACTAGAGATTCCTATTTACTACAAACTGCTACCACATACAGTTTATATTTGTTTGCCGGCATTCGCCACTGCAGTGTTCACATGATTTGACTGATTGTTTTAAATAAAGCTGGTCTGTTTGCTTCATTAGCAAAAAATGCTCAGTACTATATTTCTCACTCAGCTGCACCCTGCTACATGCTTTTAATAAATGGTGTCCAAAGTCAGTTTAAATTCAGCCTGCCTAGTTTGTCTCTGCCAGCAAACCAGCCCACACACAATTTTGAACATTTGGCTGAAGGCTGAGTGCAGACTGGGCTCCACTGTACAACTTTGCTTTGCATTAAATTGTTTTCTCTGAATGTGTATATCAAATCAAATCAAACTTTATTTCTGTAGCACTTTAAAAACATCTTCACATGGACACAATAATATGCAGCCAGTTCATTAATGATTATGTGACAGGGAAAACACACGTCATAGCACAGCAGCCACCTAGTGCTACTGTCCACGGCCACTGAAGACGCTGAATGACCTTACTGCTGCTCTATCCTGTGACATAGATGGACAAACCCCAAAGTTTTTTTTTTAATTTCAAGTGGAGAGTTTTTCTATGAAGAACACTGAACTTGTTAACATCCAAAATGGCCAGTAGACAAGCAGATCGTAGTTGCCCCTACTGAAAATGGCTGTCAGATTAGCCTAGGAGTCACCAGCTGCTTATTCAACATAAATCGAATATTATTCAACATGATAGAATTTTAAAAATCTATACAAGGAGAGGTGCTGCATAAGTCCACCCAAGGTAAATGCAGTGATTTTGTTTTTGACACAGGATTTGGTGACTAGCTTGAATTCACTCATTGATTTAGCTGTATCTGATGGATTTACAGGTGCTTTTTTTTTCTTCAAGCTCTAAATATTTAGTTTAGTGTAGCATGAGCATGGGCAATGCTGTTTTAGCAATAATATGTAGTGAATTAAAATTTTATGTCAGAGGGGTTCTACAGTGAATACAACAGCTGTGGTTTTGTCTGCACCATACACACCATAGCTGTCACCTCTTTGCTGTTTCATTCACCCCAGGTACAAAGTGACACAGGTGGAGCTGTTTGCTCTGCTGTGTCGCCTGGCAGACGAGCTGCTCTTTCGCCAGATCTCTTGGATCAAAAAGCTGCCCTTCTTCTGCGAGCTCTCCATAGAGGACTACACCTGCCTGCTCAGCTCCACTTGGCAGGAGCTCATCCTGCTCTCTTGCCTCACCATCTACAGCGCCCAGATTTTTGGAGACCTGGCCGATGTCACTGCCAAGTACACGCCGTCTGACGATGAGCTGCAGGGGTGAGTGGCAGTGAGCTGGAGAGGAGAGATTTTAGTTGGTGCTGCAGGTGGTTGCTGTACCCAGAGTCATTGCAACTTGGCTCTTATTGTTGGCTTTTGGATCGGAATGGTGAATAGAGCTGTAAAAAAACATATCCTTATTAATGTGGCATTAAAAACATTCAGGCAAGAAAATATAGTGTAGTAAGTTACTTGTCCTTGTCTCGAGCCCTAACATTTACACTTAGTTTGTAACCACCAAACAAAGAACACAGGTAAAATATGACTGGACTTGGGGGTGTATAGATTGAGGTTTTTATCTTAGCAATGGATAAAATGACTGTGTGTTGTGAAATGTGTCATTCATGGTAACCTGCTGAGAATTAGCACCATCTCAGCCACTGGCCTCAGCTCTACTGGAGGCTTTAACTTCTTTCAGTTTAATCATTTAGATTTTACAGCCCTCAACTTTACTGCTTTGGTTCCATCTCAGTGCTCCCATCAGCCATGTTTCTGTGCAGCTGCTTTTAGAGTAAAAATCTCAGAGAAAACCACTGTCCACTACCTGCTCAGCACCAAAGAGCCGACACACCTGTCCATTGTCTGCTGGATGTGTAAATAGGCGAGTGCTTTTTTTTAAGGTGATACTATGTCAATGTGTGGCCAAAATTGAGTTCATACTGCTTTAAACCTGATGCTTGCCAGCTGTCTAGCATGATCTGCCAGACATTAGCACCACAGTGAGGTAGTTAGCCCCACAGTTACGTTTGACATTTGTATTTACACAGAAGAATGACTGCAGAAATTACCCTCATTCATATGTGTTGATAATTCACCTACAGTGACTCATATTACCTCCCACCTCTCTATATTGTGGAGCCATTAACAAACACAAGATATTAAGTGTTAGATTTAATCTCCGGGAGCCTCTTCAATTCAATATTTCACTGAGAAGAAAGGTGGACATCGGGAATCGACTGTGCCCATCTACACCACCAATCTTTTACAAAGGCAAAACTTTCCACCCCCTGAACTCAGTATCTTTAAAAGGGTTTCATAGGGAAAGTATTGTTGTTGGACGAAGGCCAGTGAAGCGGTCCGTGAACGGGAGGGCTCCTCAGGACAGAGCTGTGGCTAGCACCGTCTGGCATGTGAAACCCACACATGTCCCATGCTAGGTAGAAAAAGCTGAGTGGGAGGTGCTTGTGTGTAAATCAGAACAGAATAATCTGACCTCATGACATACATTCTCCTAATATACAGTGTTGTTCTGCCAGTTTGTCTGCAGTTTAGCAGTAAATATCTGATTTACAGTGGCAGCGCTAAAGTTTGTGAAGGAGATTAGAACGATGAGAGTTTGAAAGACAGGGAAACAGCTGTGGGATCAGAGACATTTGTTAAGCTCTGTCAGCAGATCTGACATATTCCCTCCCCTATTTTTGCCTTATTCATTGAAGCATAGAAGATAATAGTTTGGAGGGGACTTTACTTTTTTGATGTGGGTTTTAATGTGAACACGCAGACAGTAAATCTAAAACAGTCTGTTTTTTGTTTTGTCTGGGGAACATAGCTTTAAAACGATACTCTAACAGTTGAGAAAGTCATTCACCGTGACATTTGTCCAGCATAAATGATAAGTCTGTGTCTGATTCCTCAGCTTCAGTGAGGATGGGATGGAAGTCATGGAGAGGCTGATATATCTGTTTCGCAAGTTCCACCAGCTGAAGATCAGTAATGAGGAGTATGCCTGTATGAAAGCCATCAACTTCCTCAACCAAGGTAATAGCACAAGCTCTTCTGTTAGAGAATCCAGGCTTTCATGGACCCTTTCTGTGTCCCCCCATGACTCTCTCCCATCATTCACATTTGTTCAGATATCAGAGGACTGTCCAACATCTCCCAGCTTGAGCAACTGAACAAGCGCTACTGGTATGTGTGTCAGGATTACACTGAGTATAAGTACCCGCACCAGCCCAAACGGTTCCCCGAAATCATGATGTGTCTGCCAGAGATCCGCTGCATCGCAGGTAAGGCGTCTGAGTATTGTGCCATACAATAGTGAGCATGTTTTAGGTAGTAGTTAATGCTTCTGTATTCTATGGTGCACTAAACATGGTTGCCTCTAAATGCTGGTAATTTCAGAAATGTATTTTTGTTTCCAGTAACTACCTTCCCATGCTACTATTTGTTCTTTTAGAGGATGTGGCTATCTGGCTGGACCGATTGTGGTTTAACTCAGCTACAGTCCAATGATGGGAAAATGTTTGTACAGCTATAGTATAATTGACCTATGGCTGCCAGCCTGTTAAATTTTCTCTTTTTAACAGACACTGCTGTCACATCACAAGTTTCTTTCTGTGACACTCAACAGCATTGATGTTTCACACTGATGACATTCCAGCAGCTCAAAGGGCACAACCCCTCACTATGCTGGCTGGCTTTTCATTTGAAATATGTGCATGAGGTGTAGTAACTTATTACAGAGTGAAAATAAAACTGCAAAGTCAAAATGATTGAAACAAATTAGTGGCTGAAAACACCATTTCTGTTAAAAAGAGAACGTGAAAGCAACAGAGTGGTGAGTATGATGTGACTCAGTTGTTGCACTGATGAAGTTAGTTTGGTACATTATACAGAATTTACCACGTGATGCATGACAGTACAGGTAATTTTAGCCCTCAGTTCTTGCCTGGTTGCGAGTGGGGACCAGTATTTGTTCAAGTTGGCAACTCACCCATTATGAAATTTGTTCACAAATTCATAGTGTGCCAACATAAACAAGGGTTAGCCAAGTTCATTATAAGCTGAAGTGTTGTGTGTGCTTACAGGAAAGCTGGTGAATGTCCCTCTGGAGCAGCTCCCCCTCTTGTTCAAAGCAGTCTTGCACTCGTGCAAATCCAGTCCGACCAGCTACAGGGCCGGCCCGTCGCCCTGCGTGACCTCCTCCTCCGGAAACTAGACACCCCGACCTTCCAAGTCAAGGGACTGGTCTCCCCTCTTGTGAATGTGACAAGCAGCTAGTTTGTTTTTGTAACTTTTTTCTTTATATATTTATTACATGACAGAGCTGAATGTATGCTGATTTACACTGTGCACATGCTTCTGTAAAAAACAAATGCTCATAGATGCATTGGTCTTTGGAGTTTACAAGTGTGTATCCAGTTTGCTCAATGTGTCAGTGTTGCCACTGTTAGAGCTAGACTTTAATAGAGTTTATTTTATTCAGCCGAGGGCAGATAGACACCTAACACGTGTTTTGAGACTACCTCAGGAAGATCTTATTGCTATTTTCAGGTACCTTTTCTTTCTGTCAAATGAAGAGTTGCCCAGTCTAAAACCAAATCCACGTGGATGGCACATCAATCAGAGACTGCATGTTCTAAGGAGCTGCATAAATCAAAGAGAGAAAAGCGGTATTTTGTTACACTGAAAAGGCAAAAGGAATTAGCAAAATTGAGCAACTTCATGGATTCTCAGACATGCTGCTTACGGGAGGTGGTCTTGTCAGTTTAACATTCCATGAGTTAAGGCGACAGTTGTGGGATCTTCATTGAAAAAAGGAGCATACGGGTATTTTTTACAATCATAGACTGGGGATGTAAGGCTTTATTGCAAGGGGTGGGGAGGATAGCTAGGTTTGCTGTTTTAGTTTTATTGTTTTATTCTTTTTTGACCAAAGTGTTATGCAATGCTTTTTCAAACACCCATTGATGGGTAGGGAGCTGATAGCTCCACAAAAAAGATTTCTTATCAGTGAAGGATCAGGATAAGAAATGAATCAATCTGTGTCATAGCGGAGAACCCTCTGTTGGACAGATGAGTATGTTGCCAGATTTCATGCTAAATGCTGCTAAACTTGCACACATTCTTGTGCACATATATTATGCATAGAGCAGAAGAAGTGATTCCCAATCTTTGCTTTTCCTTCTGCTTGTTTTCTGGGTTCTGTTGTCCTCAGAGCCAGGAGCCCAGTGCATTGTAGCCTGTTCTCGTCTACACGCAATCACCTACATTTAAGATCCATGGTACGGATGTTTGTTTAAAGTGGTAGTCTGTGTAATGTTGCCTTCTTCTGCTTCTTCAGACCAAGCCCTAAATCATGAAACACTAGGTGGGTCGACCAAAATCTGTACTTGATTTACTAGAAACAAAGTGGAACTGACAACACCTGGATCACAATCTGAACTCAAATGAACCATAAAAGTGGTTAACAGTCAGCATTTATTGCCTCCAGTTCATTTAAAGCTGGTGTAGAGCACAAGCTGCTGTTAGTATGTCCATCTTCAAAGCAGTTGCGGAAATCCCAGTTGAAAAACCAACCGGCCTGTTCAAAAGTGCTGCAGGACAGCTTTCGAGGAGCTTGTACTGTTTGAAGGTCTTGCCAGGTCCAATCAAAAGTTTGCACAGACACAGGACCAGCAGCAGTTTAAGTCGGAGCTGACCTGGACCTAAGGAGCATTAGAAAGTGTGGCACCTGAGACCTTGTTCAGGTCCAGTCCTCAGGGTTTTAGTGGATAAGCTTATCCCCAGAATCCAGCAAATGAATTTCTTTTATGGGCTGGCTTTAGGTTTATCATCTAAAACAAGCTTGTGGATTATCACTGAATAGAAGTGGGTTAAGTGTGACTGAATTGGGCTGTCAGGCTAGGTTTAGAGAATTTAGTTGACTTGACGTCTGGCTTGCATACCTCTGTGACAGATAAGATCATTTCAAATCGCTTGAAGTGTCTTCTTTGATTCCTCGGGTTTTTAGCCGTTTCATGATGTACGAACAATTTCGAAATGCAGACAAAATGCAGTCCTTGCAACCACTCTTTTTTTGCACACGGCGGTGAGGTCGGAGACCGTGACCCTTGGCCTCGGCTGCTGCCCACCCAGTGTGTTCCTCTCTCTCAGGTCCCTGCTGACCTGGATTTAAACAGGGTAAAGTGAGTGTTATGTATTGCATTCAGGAGCTCCTCAGTGACCATGCTGATGTACTTGTAATATTAGTAGATGTAGGTTCCAGGACATTGTAGGTCCTCTGTAGAAAAAAAGTGTTTTTCTTTTCCACTTTATTTCCCTCAAGGTCACCACCCCCCAACCCCTCTCATTCAGTGAAAGTGAATGTAGTTTGAAGATGAAACACACAGGATGGATTTTTCCCTTGGCGCTGGTGATGTGGAGCCAGAGGCGGTGGCATCTTCAGAATGTCGTGTATCTCTTGCTTGTGTGCAGCCTTAACAGCACCACCAATCCAAGGCAGTGTTCCTCTTTCAAATGTTTCCCTTATCCTCTTTTCATCTTTTGATTTTTCTACATTTTTATTTTGTAGTTATTGTGACTGTTTTGGGGTTTTGATGTTTTTTTGTTTTCGTTTTTTTGGGAGTGAAGACAGCCCCTATCATTTTCTAAACTTTGACTTAATTCTTGACTTTTCTTGAACATGACTTTCAATAACTCATTCCCTTGTCCACAATGATTTATGAAAATATGTATTACTCAGGTGATGCCAGCCATATTTACAGTGCAAATGTGATGATTTGGAGCCATAGTTGGTTTCAAACTTGAATTCCACTCACTTTCTTCCACCAGTGCTCTCAGAGCAGCCGAGGCAGGTGTGTGGAGAATATTGTCTCTCCATATAGTGAAATGTACTGTACATCATTCATCTCACAGGCTTTTCTAGAATATTTTCTCACTTACCTTCAGCAGTATGCCACCATGCAGATAGTATTGGTTTTATCTCATGAAAGTTTGAGGTTTCTGCTTTCACCCAATACAATCAACAGTACTTTAGTGTATGATGCTCACATTATTAGCAAATTACATAAACATTTTTCAACATCTACTTGTCGTTCCATAAACAAAGTTTTCTGGCTATTTTTTATTGTACAAAAAAGTTCCAGTAAATCACAGTTAGATTTTTAAATAATTTATTTCCGTTTTATTGCATGAAATAAGTATTTGATACAATAGAAAAATAGAACTTAATATTTAAATTATTTAAAAATCTAACAATGTGATTTACTGGAACTTTTTTGTAGATTCTGTCTCTCACAGTTGAGGTGTACCTACGATGAAAATTACAGAACTGTCCATTCTCTGTAAGTGGGAAAACTTGGAAAATCGGCGGTGTATCAAATACTTATTTGCCCCAATGTAACTGTGACGATTCACTGGAACTACTTTGTAGCAAACAAATAGTCCCTGTAAAACTGCCAGTAGTGTGATCTGTGAATTACCCAGAGTAACAAGCACGAAGATTCTTCTGAAAAATGTGTCAGTTTTGTCAGCGCCACAGACAAAATTCCATTCACTTCCATTATGCTGGGGCAGAGGCAGAAATATTTAGAGAGACCAGGCTGCAAACAAAGGTGGTGGATTTTCAACCTCGACCAGAACTTCAATGTATGCAGCCAAATTTTTTTGGAAAACCGCAATATATTAAAGACCAATATCTTAAAACATGATCAATAAAACCAAAACTACCTGCACTGCTATATTCCACTAATCCTAACTAACTAAAATCTGTGGTTTTTTTCTGTGTGTGTAATTTTGGTGAACTCTGATTCTTTAAACTCTCAGGGACAGATACTTTCATGTAACAGAAGTCTGAGTGATGCGATGTTTTGTTAAAGGAAAAAACTCCCTTAAAATGCTTCACCACTGCTAAGAAACAACCACAATGTAGTTTTGTGAAAGAAATTTCAAATATAGTAAAACTTTCAGGTTTTGGTGCCAAAATGTAAAGAGCAAAGGCTTTTTTTTTGTTTTCTAAAGCTGTAGCAAAAAGTTCAGGGTGGCCGGCATCAGAGCCACTTCATCTCAGAGTAACTCCAGGAATTCACTGAACATCAGACGGCTGAGATCAGACAGTGGACGAGGATCTGAAGGGGGATTTTTTTTTCCTTTAATGTAGCAGCAAGTAATATCAATACAGGCCTCTGCCAACCAACATAAAAAAAACTACCTTACTGCCACTGCTTTGACGTCCTACCTGTCATTTTTTGATACGCTGAAGAAAGTGTTTTTATTTTCTTTGGCAGTATTTTTTGCAGACAAGGTATATGCCGTTTGCAATTTCTGTACTGAAACTACCTCTTTACCATCATGTTACTTTGAAATAAGTGATTTTTGTCTTATTTATTGGTTTCAATGCACCAATTTCACTCAGTGACCTCTCAGCCCAGTACCTGTTTTTTTTTTTTGTTTTATATTAATGCATAAACATTTTGCCTCATATTTCTCTACCTCAGAATTAGACTTTTGTTTTCTCTGATGTCCGAATGTTAAGTATGTTACACGACAAACTTTTTTAAGCTCTCCATTCAGGGATCCTCTTCCTCCTTTTTTCCTTTAGTTTTCCAATAATTAAATTAGTGGCATCTTTAATTTCACTTGTACCCTGTTGTTGTGAATCCAATACCAGAGATGAAAAAAATGTCAGTGACAGTGTCAGCATAAGGGTCAGTGTTCACGTGATGCATTCTTGCTGCAGTTAACCAGTGCTTTATTTATCTGCGTTGACCTTATCTGAATACGTCTTGTTATCTTGTGAATGGCTGTTTGCTGTGTACACTATATTCACCACATCATGATATAGCAGTGTGTGTGTGTGTGTTTTTTTTTTTTCTTCATTGTTCTCCATAATTGTTGTTCATTGGCAAGGCGGTTCAAGGTGACACGGAACAGTGACAATAGGACTGCTATCAAATCTGACTCTGTCAGTGCTACTTGATTGATTATCAGTTGGTGAATGTCACTGTGGTCAAACTGACATCTCCTCATGTTTACATGCTTTCACTCACTCATGTGACCCTGATGGTGTGGCATGCAACCACAGACAGTCTACTGCTGTGTTATCACTGGGGTTGGACTCATATGGCTTTTGAATAAGAGCCACCTGCTTAGTTACTGATTGGAGCATCATTTTAGTTGCATTTGTTTGACACTATTCCTATCATGTATTATCCATTATACTCCATGTGACTTTATTGCTAAGATATTGGCATGCAGACTTCACAGTTTAACCATTTTGCTTGGAAGTGGAAACCAGACTTAGCATTAGCTGTTACCCATAATGTTCACTTTAAACATCCAGTACACAAACATTAGATCCTGCAGAAACTTTGGCCATTCATATCATACAATACTTTACAATGTAGTTAATAGTTATAATGGATATTTCTGTTAAATACAGTTCTGTTTTTTATTCCAAAATTATATTTAACAATGGACTTATTTCCATGTACAGTCTGGTAATCCAACTGCTCAAGTTGCTCGTCTTAGACTTCTGTTCTAATGAAACTGGTAGAAAATGTCATGATAACAGTATGAAAAACTGAAAACTTTCCTGGTTGTACAAACAAGTGGAATTTCCTTTAATGCACTGTTTTTGCAGTTGTGGTCATGGAAGAACAATGGTCCTTCACATGAAGGCATCACTCACTACTTCCCTATAAAAGACTACTATAGGCACACCAACATATGTGTCCAACCTTAGTGATGTAACACTGGTAGAACCCTGTCGTACTGGAGCACAAGATGAGTTTGGGGGAAGTAAAAAGAGTAGAAAAATCTCTACATATCTCAGGGAAGAAATAGATCTATACACTCATCACTTGTGATCAGACAAATGAAATGCCTATGTTGTTTTCTTCAGAAATCTCTTGTCTGCTCTTGTTACTTTAACTACTTGTGAAGAATGTGATCCAATATGTGTTAAAAGCATGTTTAGAATGTGTTAGGACTTGAAACCAAATAAATGTGAATGTTATGCAAATTACACAGGTTGGTCTTCCATCTTTGGCCTCTATAGGCAGAAGGAAGGTGAGCATGGAAACTGATTTCATGATGTCAGTCAGTGATACTGAGCTTATGAAGCAGTAACAAGGCAGAGGAGTAAAGTTGACTTGGTGCTCAGCACACTTCAATGTATTTTTCACAGTGATACTATCATAAAAATAAACAAAAAGGTATGTTTCAGCACTTTGTGGTTTGTAAACACGCCAAATCATCTACTGAAAGTCATGACAACATAGGCAAAAATTATGCTTGATTAGTTGATGCTCAGAAACTGTTGCTATAAAGCACCCTGCCTTGGCTTCTGTTGATTTGTTAAATACACAAACCACTATTATAAATTATTAGACAACAAATTGGAATGTTACAGTTTTACACAGCATACCGTGCAGTGGTTTAATAGCTACCTGTCTAATAGGAAACAGTATGGATTTCATAATGGAAATAATATGCAGTTGCAAAAAAACAAGTAATGGCACTGTTTGCAAATTCCTGGTTTTCTGCATAAAACGGTCATGAAATGTGATCTGATCTTCACCAAAGTCACAAATATCAACAAACACAATACTTCTAAGCTGATAAAACACAGTCATGATCTCTCATGTCTTTATTGAACACGCCCATTAAACATACAAAGTGATGGTGGAAAAAGTAATGGACTACAGTTTCTGATTAACTGGTTGAACCACCTTTGGCAGCAATAACCTCAAGCAAGCACTTCCTGTAGCTGTGGATTAGACCCGCACAACGTTCAGGAGGAATTATGGGCCTTTCTTCATGACAGAACTGCTTCAGCTTAGCCATGTTCTTAAAACGTCTGGTGTGAATGTCTCTCCTGAGGTCAATCTACAGCATCTGTCTTGAGGTTGAGGTCTGGGTTTTGACTGGGCCACTCCAAAAGGCGGGTTTTGTGTCTCAGTAGCCATT